TAACGTTTATACTCTTTTTTTTTCTTCTCATTAGGCTTTGAAAAAAAAATAAAGTTGAAACCTTTGGGTGAAGAAGAAGAAGAAGATGGTGTGGTTCCGGGCCGGCTCCAATGTTACAAAACTCGCTGTAAGAAGGATTCTGAATCAGGGCACGAGAACACCACGTTACCTCCCTTCTCAAAACCGTTCCTTTCACTCATCCCTCTACAGACCAAACCCTCAAAGCTCTGCTGCTTCTACTGCTCCCATCCCACGTGCCGTTCCCCTCTCTAAGCTAACAGACAGCTTCTTAGATGGGACGAGCAGTGTCTACCTCGAGGAGCTTCAACGAGCTTGGGAAGCTGACCCCACAAGCGTTGACGAGTCTTGGGATAATTTCTTTAGGAATTTTGTGGGACAAGCTGCGACTTCTCCAGGGATCTCTGGTCAGACGATTCAGGAGAGTATGCGTCTTTTGTTGCTTGTGAGGGCTTATCAGGTGAACGGTCACATGAAGGCTAAGTTGGATCCGTTGGGTTTGGAGAAGAGGGAGATCCCTGAGGATCTTGATTTGGCTCTTTATGGATTCACTGAGGCTGATCTTGACAGAGAGTTCTTCTTGGGTGTGTGGCAGATGTCTGGTTTCATGTCTGAGAATAGGCCTGTTCAGACGCTACGTTCTATATTGACGAGGCTTCAGCAGGCTTACTGTGGGAGTATTGGGTTTGAGTATATGCATATCGCGGATCGGGATAAGTGTAACTGGTTGAGGGAGAAGATTGAGACTCCTACTCCTTGGAGGTACAATAGGGAGCGACGTGAGGTGATTCTTGATAGGCTTGCGTGGAGTACTCAGTTTGAGAATTTCTTGGCTACTAAGTGGACAACGGCTAAGAGGTTTGGGCTTGAAGGTGGAGAGTCTTTGATTCCTGGGATGAAGGAGATGTTTGACAGGGCGGCTGATCTTGGAGTTGAGAGCATTGTTATTGGAATGTCTCACAGAGGGAGATTGAATGTTTTGGGTAATGTTGTTAGGAAGCCGCTACGTCAGATCTTCAGTGAGTTCAGCGGTGGGATTAAGCCTGTGGATGAGGTTGGATACACTGGAACTGGTGATGTTAAGTATCACTTGGGTACATCTTATGATCGACCTACAAGAGGTGGGAAGAAGATCCATCTCTCATTGGTTGCAAACCCAAGTCACTTGGAAGCTGCAGATTCAGTTGTGGTTGGTAAAACCAGAGCTAAACAATACTACTCCAAGGATTTGGACAGGACCAAGAATTTAGGTATTTTGATTCATGGAGATGGTAGTTTTGCTGGACAAGGAGTGGTTTACGAAACTCTTCATCTTAGTGCTCTTCCTAACTACACCACTGGTGGTACCATTCATATTGTGGTGAACAACCAAGTGGCGTTCACAACGGATCCAAGAGCTGGGAGATCTTCCCAGTACTGTACTGATGTTGCTAAGGCTTTGAGTGCTCCCATCTTCCATGTTAATGGGGATGATGTTGAAGCTGTTGTTCATGCCTGTGAGCTTGCTGCTGAGTGGCGTCAGACCTTTCATTCTGATGTTGTGGTTGATTTGGTTTGCTACCGTAGGTTCGGGCATAATGAGATAGATGAACCATCTTTCACTCAGCCAAAGATGTACAAGGTTCGTTGGCATATTTTTTTTCCTTATATGTAAACCCTAAAAAGAATCTGCCATGGATTTATAAGTTTTTGTTGCTTTTCAATTTGACAGGTCATCAAAAATCATCCCTCAACGCTTCAAATCTACCACAAGAAGCTCTTGGAATGCGGTGAAATATCACAAGATGATATTGATAGGATACAGGAAAAGGTTAACACCATTCTCAATGAAGAGTTCGTTGCTAGTAAAGATTATCTTCCTAAGAAACGAGATTGGCTTTCAACCAATTGGGCTGGTTTCAAGTCTCCTGAGCAGATCTCACGTGTTAGAAACACAGGGTGAGTAGGTTTTGTCCCTTGAGTTCTCTTTTCTCTTTTTCAGTACTGTTCCTCAAACTTTACACTCTTTTGCAGAGTCAAACCAGAGATACTCAAGACTGTTGGCAAGGCAATTTCATCGCTACCGGAAAACTTCAAGCCTCACAGAGCAGTGAAGAAAGTTTATGAACAACGTGCTCAAATGATTGAAACAGGAGAAGGGATTGATTGGGCACTTGCGGAAGCTCTTGCTTTTGCCACCTTGGTTGTGGAAGGCAACCATGTCCGGTTGAGTGGTCAGGATGTCGAAAGAGGAACCTTTAGTCATCGTCATTCTGTCCTTCATGACCAGGAAACTGGAGAAGAGTATTGTCCTCTAGATCATCTCGTCATGAATCAGGATCCTGAGATGTTCACTGTCAGCAACAGGTACTTTTAGCTCCATTACATCCTCACTCCCCAATGATTGTTATGCTCCTAGCTTGTTTTGACAAGAAATTGTCTAATGGAGATTAAGCTATAAAATTTTGGATCGTTTTGAGATGTACTAAGAAGTTTTGATTTGTTGTATGCAGTTCTCTTTCTGAATTTGGAGTACTTGGGTTCGAATTGGGTTACTCAATGGAAAGCCCAAACTCGCTGGTGCTATGGGAAGCTCAGTTTGGAGACTTTGCCAATGGAGCTCAGGTTATATTTGATCAGTTCATCAGCAGTGGTGAAGCCAAGTGGCTTCGTCAAACCGGGCTTGTTGTGCTACTTCCCCATGGTTATGATGGTCAGGGCCCTGAACATTCAAGTGCCAGGCTGGAACGTTACCTTCAGGTACAACTCTGTCTCTAATTTTCTTTTTCACCTTCTTATGATTACCTTCTTGGCTCTAACTAATGCCTATGGTCTTCTGTTACAGATGAGTGATGACAACCCCTATGTCATACCCGACATGGAACCAACACTGAGAAAGCAAATCCAAGAATGTAATTGGCAGATTGTCAATGCCACCACTCCTGCCAACTATTTCCATGTTCTGCGTCGACAGGTAAGAGCTATGTTCCTGTTATCGTTTTCTGCTGTTTCAAAGTGTAGTTTCCATTTTACAATGTCACTCAATGTTACACACGATGCAGCTACACAGAGATTTCCGTAAGCCTCTGATTGTAATGGCACCAAAGAACTTGCTCCGTCACAAGGACTGCAAATCAAACCTCTCTGAGTTTGATGATGTCCAAGGCCACCCAGGTTTTGACAAGCAAGGAACTAGGTTCAAGCGATTGATCAAGGATCAGAATGATCACTCTGATCTTGAAGAAGGCATCAGAAGATTGGTACTTTGCTCTGGAAAGGTATGCAAACTTTGTTCATTTTAAATGACTGAGTCTTACTGGTCCCATATTAGCAAAAGACAGTAGAATCATTCTTGGCTTTGCATTTTTGCAGGTTTATTACGAGCTTGATGACGAGAGGAAGAAGGTCGGCGCGAGCGATGTTGCTATTTGTAGAGTGGAACAGCTTTGTCCTTTCCCATATGATCTCATTCAGCGTGAGCTCAAGAGATATCCAAGTAAGAATTTGTTGTTTAGTTTGGTCTGCAGTTTTTTCTCTGACATGTCGTGGTACTAATTGTTTTCCTTTTTTGCTTTGATATGAAAAAAAGATGCGGAGATAGTTTGGTGCCAAGAAGAGGCGATGAACATGGGAGCATACAGCTACATAACTCCAAGGCTATGGACAGCAATGAGAAGCTTAGGGAGAGGAGATATGGAAGACATTAAGTACGTTGGTCGTGGACCTTCTGCTGCTACTGCCACTGGTTTCTACACTTTCCATGTCAAAGAGCAAGCCGAGCTCGTCCACAAAGCCATTGGAAAGGAGCCCATCAGTTAAAAGAAACTTCATTTTTTTAATGAATTCTTTAAATAAGAACTTTGGGTGATCAAAGTGTTAAAAACTACACTGACGAAATCATGTCTTTGCATTTTTTTGGTCCCATTTGATTTTTGAGCCTGTCTTGTGTTGCAGGTTTAATTAATACACATCATACTCATTTTCATAGAACTTTTGTATTTCCTTTTCATTTTGTTCTCTGAAACATCTTTTGCTTTTGTCAGTACATTTTGTTTTGAAGATTTTGGATGTTCAAAGGTAATAACAAACCATTGCAGAATGGGATTTGAAAGATGTAGGTAGATTTGTTCACATCTTCAACCTCCACCATTGCTCCAAGAATCGTGTATTTTGCATCGTCTTATTTTGCATTATTAAACATAGCAAAAATAGTGTAATTTGTAATCATAATAGAATGCCTTAAGCTTTCCCTACATGTTATATTGGTGGGAAGGTAAACTAACTAGCGGTCATTTGCAGGGGCGAAGCCAGTAAGGCAGTTGTAGGTGGAAGTGCACCCATAATTTTAGGATTATCTACATGTTTTGTATGTAATAATAGTAGATTCGAGTTTGTTAAAATGGTTTATGTCTCCTGTCCACCCATAAACATCTAAAGTTCGACACCCATATTTTTCCCTTATGAATTATGCACCCACTAAGAAAAATTCATAGATTCGTCATCTGTGAATATATATGTTAATCAGTTTAATCAATAAGAATATATAATATTATGATCCATAAACTTTGAAAATAGTATTTGCAATTTATATAACTCTGGCGAATCCACGAACTCAGATACTAAAAGCAAGTTCACTATAATTAACCGGTGTATAAAAATAAAAATAAAAAAGCAAGTTCACCATAAGCTATATTAGAAATGATTATGTTTCTCTACTTTCTAACGTTATATTGCTTTATTTGGTTGATGCGTTGATGGACCATCTAAACTCAAATAAAGATCATAAAGATAGCGAAATCAACGCGTTTTAACGTATGTCTAAAGCAAATATTATGAGAAGCTTCCCTGTTATTTATTCGAATAAAAGAAACCTTAAAATTAGAACATCCGAAATTAAACACAAAGCTAACAATCTCTCCAATCCATGAAAGTTCCCCATAACCATTATGTTAGGTCTTTCCAAACAAATGCTACATAGAACAAATCTTATCAAGACGCGTCACTTAGAACTTGCACGAACTATTACTTGGGTTCTTCCTTACAACGACTCCGGTTCCACTGAAATGACACGACCCGTCATTGCGACCGTTTTTCTGGTAATAAGCATTCATCACAAAAGAAGCATGAGTCCTCAAACTACTAGGGTTAAAGCACGAGCCACCGGCTTGTATCGGTTTACAATCAACGCCTCCCTGACTACACACCCAATCAATATTCCCTTGCAACTGCGCATTAGTGGCTCCCGACTTAGCCACACACCATTTACCACCAGCAGCAGTACTAGGCGCTGGCAATGCTGGTGCTGGACGTTTACCACCACCGTTTCGGAGGAGGCCAACGTCGTAAACCGGAGAGAAATCAGCTCGGAAAAGCCCCCAGTTTCGCTCAGCGGTTGGACCNACACCCAATCAATATTCCCTTGCAACTGCGCATTAGTGGCTCCCGACTTAGCCACACACCATTTACCACCAGCAGCAGTACTAGGCGCTGGCAATGCTGGTGCTGGACGTTTACCACCACCGTTTCGGAGGAGGCCAACGTCGTAAACCGGAGAGAAATCAGCTCGGAAAAGCCCCCAGTTTCGCTCAGCGGTTGGACCGGGTTTGCCTTCTTCATTAAACAAACCGAAAATGTAAGTCTCGAACCGTCTTTTAGGCATGAGAGGTGTTCCTTGGCCTTGTGCACGTTTTATAACGTTGAGGTTGAACCAAGCCGCGTTTGCTGGAGAGCACCAAGGTGCATCGCAAGCAGACGGCCAGCCAGTCTCTCCGATGACGATGTTAACATCTCCGTAGCCAAGAGCTTTCATGGCTGAGTAAGTTGAGTCCATGAGAGCATCGTACATGTTTGTGTAGATTTTGCGTGTGAACGGGTCACGTACCGCCTTATACGGTGAACGGAAAATTGCGAAGTTGACGTTTTTAGGGTCGAAACCGAAGTAAGGATAGGGGTTAACCATGAAAGGAGACTTGGTTTGGCGATGGTAAGCCAGGATTGGAGCCAAAATGCCTTTGTCCCAGCCAGGTCTGAATCGACCTCTGCTTGGTGCACCGTGCAGGTCATAGGCTATGATGTTAAGTGAGTGTGCGGTTGTAACCTGAAACCAAATTGCAACAAGTAGTATATTAGAAATAATGATTACCTATCAGTTTCTAAAGTTTTACCAAATAATAATTATTTTATTCTTTTCGTTTTAACTTAATCGTATTAAAATGACTTTTGTTATTTTATTTATTTAACCTAAAGAAGAAACAATAAATACTATAAAGTTTTAATAGTCAAATAAGAATAAAACTGTACAATTAACTATTTTAATTGAATAAAATTGTAACATTAACTATTTTTAAATTGTGAAAAAACTTTAAACTAATTCTAAATTGAAATGAAGGGATTATATGATGTTCCTTTCTTTTTCTTTTGTTAAAAGTCTTCACTATATGATTTTCTTTTCTTTTCTTTTTTTGTAAAAAGGTTTGTGTATATGAACTTTTTTTTTGTGATATATATACGCATTTATGATGTTCACATGAAAGGAAACTTTTAGGACATGGCAGACAACACATTACGACTTGGTTTTGTTTTTCTCATCAATTTACATCCATATGTGTCCGAATTACACAACCTTGGACGGTGAGACAGCACGTGGCATTAGACTACATGTTTTTTTTTTTTTTTTTTTGGTTCAACTGACTACATGGTTAGACCTTGAATTATTATCATTGCTACCTTCAAAATCTTTTAATTTTCATATTTAATAAATAAAAAATAAATTAGACTTAATAAGATCTGAAATTAGTAATAATGACATCGAACTATATTTTAATCTATTTATTTACCAAAAATTATAACAAGAAAATCTAGAGATTGTGAAAAATGGAGAGGAGGCTGAAGGCTGACCTTAATATCTCTGACACCAGCTCGAAACAAAGCACTGTTAAGACTCCTCATCGCCGGTAAAAGCTTCGAGATCATGTTACTATCTCCGGTGAGCAGAATCTCATTTCCTACGGAGATATATTTGATCTTCGTCTGAGGATGAAACGGTAGTATATTAGCCGAAACCCACCGACGAGCTTGCATCCCATTAGCTAACGCCGGAATATCACCATTAGGAACGGTGACGACGACGGAGATTCCTGTACCGGCAAAGGCACGGAGGATATTGGGATCCACGTTGAAGATCTTGACGCTATCGATAGAAGTCTGAGTCTTGAGGAAGTTTGCAACCTGAGTCGGCGGTGGGAGGTTTCCGAGAGTTCCGTAGTTGACGCCGATGGCGGATATCGCGGTGGGGATGGTGAGAAATACGGCGGTGGAGAGGAGGAGGAGGAGAGAGATTGACGGTGGCGCTTTGGCCATGTTTGCTAGTTTCGAAATAATGAGAAAAACTAATCGTTTGAGGTATCTTTTTATCTGGTTGAAAGAGTTGATGGTTATTGAGAAACTATATATTATATTTTTATCGATGTCCCCGAAGGAAGGAGAAACTATATACCATGTAGAAATCAATAGATAAATAATATGACCGTTTGTATTGGCGTATACGTCTGGTATAATTGTATATGTTATATGTATATTTGTGGTAAGTGGTAACGAACAGCTGGACTTTTTTGGGGGAAAAATACTGTTGTCTTTTCATGTGCGTCGGCATTGTCAAGAATTGAAAGTGGATTTTACCGTGACAGTGAAATTTTTGAGTTAATTTTGTAAGTATAAATTTTTTTACTGGTTAATTTTTTAGACATCTTTTACTGATGACTTATCTTGTCATCTTTTGATTAAACAAACAATATGTTTTTCTAATAAGAAAGTATAGTTATTGATTTATGGTGACTAAGGGCATAATTATCGGTACTTCTTACAAAAGTCCTTAGCATTTAATTGCTTAAAAATAAATCTAAAATAGTCAATTATACCAAAGGACACCTCTTAATTAAGATGTTTTGTGGCATGTCCTTAAGGACACGTGTCGAGCAATAGCTTTAGAAAAAAACAAAGTCTTCTTCTCTTCATCTCTTCCTCTCTATTGTTTCCTCTATGTCCTCTTCTTCTTCTTCTTCCTCTATTTCTTCAAATTCATCGATGGAGGAATCACCCTTGGTCGTTGCAACCCTGTCCTGTCATCGGTGGAAAACGCAAAGTTCATCGATGCAAAGAAGAATTCGTGAACGCAAAGTTCGACCGCATTCACCCTTGATCGTTGGTCCTTCAAATTCATCGATGCAAAGAAGGATTCATCTAAATCTGGACAAGTCCCACCAATAATCTAGAAATTTAGGAAAGTCCTTAACTTTGATTCTAAACTTAAAAATATTAATAAAATATGCTAAGGACACATTAAGAAGTTTCATTGATAATGTTGCCCTAATACTCTTATTAATGTAATTAGTAAGCGTAGGATTAAGTTTTAAAATATTAAATGGAAAAGAAAAAGATAAAGAGAATAGATAGATCGACGCGGTTTCTAATAGTCACATGGGCACGTGATTGTAGGATGGAATCATATGAGTTCGAACACTGCCGACCAAAGTCAAATAGATTCGGTTTCGATGAATGAAGATTTAGGGGAAGCTGATCCTTAACCTGAACGTACCCTTTTGTTTGAAATCCACTTTCTTGTGCTTTTAGATCCTTTTATATCTACTTCTCTGCTACTAGTATTAGAGCATGTCCAATGGTCAGAGCTTTTGATGTGTTCTTACCATTTGTATTGTTAACTGTGTATTTTATGATGTTAAAAATTATTGTTAATATAATTAGTTTTGTGAAAGTCCCAGTGATAAAATTGTAAAGAGGTTCATAACTTTTAACATTGAGTTTGGTTTTAGTCTTTACTTCGTTCATTGGATAATTTTGTAAACATTATCTTATGTCATTCTATATAGCTAGCAAATAAGCAAAAAAATGATATTTTATCTTCTTGTTTGTTTGATTCAATCTTTTCCTCCAGTATACACATTCCAATTCCTTAAAGTTGCTATTACACCACTCATTCACAACCTATTTTACATTGATATGAAAAAAATACAATGCAAGCTTGAAACTCCTATGAGACTGCAGAAATTTTCATGCGTCTTCTGTTTCTGTGAAGTTGTATATGTTCATCAAAATGGCTATAATACTTGTAGCAACAGCAAGAGTAAACATCACTGAAGCGATAATCGCTAGCACCGAGTTTATGACAACAAAGAATAATGCAAGCAGGAATGAGATTGCAGAACTTAAAGCCAATCTATCTACAAAACATACAAATACCATCAGCACAACAACATATGCAAAGTCTTTTTTTTAAGAATTTGGTTTCTAAGGAAACGTACCAACGCGTCTACATAAGACTAAAGGAAGAGAAAGACAGATGATAATTAATAAACTAAAGAACTCGTGTTCCACCAATGAGAACCAAACCATCCTTGGGTTGCTTACTGGATATATGTTCTATGTTTCAAACTTTCTGAGCTAAACTAGTAATTGACTTAGGTATAATGTTGTAATTGTATGGAGTGTACCTCTATCAAGCGTAAACCTATACACAGTGATTCCTACTTTGTTATTCTCGAAATAATTCATTACAAAAAATAAGACAATTCAACCAGACATAGAAAGTATCAAGTATAGACCATTCAGATAAAAAAAACATCTGAGATCAATTTGGAGAGGTTGATTACTGGATATCATGGACATATTTGGAGAGATTGTTTACTGGATATATGTTTCTGTTCGTTGATGTTCGAGGAAAGCGAAGGTGAAGCCTCCGACGCTGGATTGAGCCCAGAGCAAAACAGACGGCGAGTGAGTTTGTGTCGAGAGAGAAAAAACAGGAGGAGAGAGGAAGAGAGAAGGTAAATTTCCTATTTTTATCTGAAAGGAATTAGCCAATAACAAAAGGCCACATATGGGGTGTTTACTAATCCTAAAGACAAAATCGGTTTCTAATAGAACATATTTAGGATTGGTAAACACCCCATATGTGTGTTATTGGCTAATTCCTTTTCCATAAAAAGGGAAAAAGTTACATTTTCTCTTCCTTTTTCCTCCCGTTTTTCTCTCTCGACACAAACTCACTCACCGTCTGTTTTGCTCCAGGCTCAATCTGGCGTCGGAGGCTTCACCTTCGCTTTCCTCTGTAAGAAATATGATGAACAAGTTCAAGAACACAAGTGGAAAAGAGAGATAGATAGATCTGTAAATTTGAATCTAAGAGAGAGAGAGAGAGAGAGTAAAAGAAGGATCTGTTTTCCTTAATTAATTCTGAGTACACAAAGTCATATTTAAAGACATACAATCTGACACAAAACAAGAGAAGTAATGATAAAGCAGATCTGTCCCAGCTGATAGTGACTTCTTATAACGGCTATAAATCCCCACTTGCTGTCTCAAATGTCTCCAACGGATATATCACTTCTGTAGTCTTTATAAAGACTCCTTATAAAGAATCCTTATAAAGTCTTATGAAACCTTATAAGTCCCACTCAAGTCTGGCAGCTTGTTCTTCTCAAGTCTAGTCCACAACTCAAGTTTGGTATACATATTATTTATTCCTCTTTTCAATACTCCCCTTCAAGTTTAGCCATAAGATATGGTTTAAGCTTGGAACCATGAAGACAACCCCTCGTTAAAAATTTTGCACAGAAAACCCTTTAGGATAAAACCACACAAAGGAAAGACTATGTGCTTCATGATTGAGAATATATAACTCATTCGCGATTCTCATATCAATTTGGGCAAAACGTCACGAACCAAGGATTATGATAGTAATTACAAAACAATGAACAAGTAGACTGCAATAAAAAAACTAGGAGAAATACCAAAATATATCACTCCATGCTACAAAAATAAGACACAATGAGTAACAAATTTTGTTTAAGATTTTTGGCTCTCTCTCTCCTCCTCCTTGACTTTCTCTCTCGATGATAAAAAGCAGATAAGTTTTGCTCCGGCCTGGACGGCGTGTGGCGGCACGTACCGGCATCCGGAGGCTCCCCCTTCTCTCTCAGCCTCTCATTTTCTCTTTGCTACAACGCGGTCTCTCTCACTCTCTCTGCCTTTTCCAGCGCTCTGCTTCTGGAGGCTCCCCGACATCGTCTTTACTGCAGGAAACCTCCGGTATCGGTGGGGACCTACTAGATGTTGGAACGTCGACACGTGATGGATTGTGGTTTACTGTTGTTGTAGTCGGCTTTAGGGTTTGGCTGTTGACTGGATCTGGTTTTTCCCCTTTTTCAGATCTAGTTTCGCCTTGTGGTTTGGAGGTGTGTGAGCTTTGGTGACAGACTCTCTCCATGTTCTGGTATTGCGTGCTTGTTCGAAGCTTATCTTCGTTGGCTAGTGGAGTCGAGTTCTTCTTGTTTCTCCTCAGCTCGGCGTCTTGCTGTGGAGGCGAGGTTAGTTTCATCTCAAGATTCGGCGACGAGTCCCCCCCTGAGTCACTCTGTCGGTGCGTGCACGGGTGGATTGTTTCTGCGTGGCTGCTATCTACTCCGTGAGTTAGTGTGTGCGGTTATAGTTTGGAATTTAAGCTCTGTTGTCCATGGCTGTAGCTTCTTCCTCTCGGTTAATTGCTCGATCTTTGTTTGTTCCTCTCACTTCGTTGTTCTCCGGTGCTCTGCTTCTTCTCGATTCAGAGCTTCTTCATTCCGCTTTTTGGGTTGCCTCGACTCTCCGTCGACGGTTCTTCCTTGAGGCGCACAAGGGTAAAGTCCAGGTTCTCTGCGATGTTGCAAGGTTCACTAGAAGTTCTGATGGTCTTTCAGTCCCTTCTTTTAGTGTAGCTTGTGTGGAAAGTCATCATCCCAGTGCCTCGTTGGCCTCTTGGTCAATTAGGTAGATTGCTCTCCCCTGTTTTGCAGGTAATGAAGAATGAATCTATGCGTTGCCTCCTCTCCTACCCATGTTCTGGAATTGTTTACAGCCTGTAGGTCTCCATTTTCCTCTTTGTGAGATCCTTCTGATGGTTCTCATCGGTGGGTGCGTGTGAGAAGTTCCTTTCCCTTGGTCTTGTCAGCTTAGTGGAGTGGATTTATGTGGCAATGCGTGTGGAGGCTCGAGTGTGCATCCACCTCTCTTTATAGACTCTATTTTCCATTGGTTGGTGTGGAGCTGTGGCAACATGGTCGTCTCTCTTGCCCAATAAATGTGTTGGCGTGGTCTTACTCCGTGATCGTGTCCCTGCGGTAGTGGCTTCCCCGGTTTGGAGGTTTATATGGGTTAGTTGCTCATCTTTTATTGAGGCGAGCACCGGGAATGGGCCAAATCTACTGGGTTCGTGCTCACGAGCTTAACTCTTCCATCCAACGAATGCAACTGGTGTCTCTTGCTTCCTCTCCCTACAGTCGAGGCAAGGCTCCGTGGTTGATGTTTTATGTGGTGAGGCTTCCCTGCGTTTTTAGTTTTTTGTTTTTGATGTTGTTGTTTTGTTCTTAGTTTTTTTTTTCTGTGTTTCTTAGTTTCTATGTTGTTCTGTAAAAAACTTGAAAATGGTAAATACACTTAACATTTTTACCAAAAAAAAAAGACGCAATTCACTCCCTCTTCTCCCACACATTACTAACCATTCAAAAGAGTCTGATCAGAGACATTCAAATAGCTTCAAGTGGTGAAAAGAAAAATTGCAGAAACAAATAAATATACTTTAAAAGTAGGAAGATAAACAAAATTAAAGAGGCAGAAATTAATCAGAAATACGGCGAGTATATACGGAAAGCAAACCTCCTCAAATTAGGGATAAATTAAAACAAACATATGGTTTACAAATAATTATGTAAAAGCTGGTTCTGAAATTCTGGGTGGAAAGATGGATCGAGAAAGATATGCTGCTGAGATTTTGGGTGGAAAGATGGACTGAGAGAAGATATATGGAAGAACCATTCATCGGGTCTATGAATTGAATATCCACCAAAAAAAGAATTTGACCGAATTGGATGTTAAGGAAACGGAGACAGAAACAAAAAAAAAAAAACAAGTAAGAGATTCTGATGAATGAACTACAAAAACACTGCAAACTTGTAGTCTATTCTATTAATAAGTTTGTGAAAAGAGATGATACCGGTTCTGAAGTTTTCTAAGCAGCATCTTTGAAGAGTTGTGATTTTGGTGAATTGAAGACGACGATTGAATGGATAATGTCATAGTTTTATCTTAAAATTAAATTTTATCCATTAGATTATATGATAGAAACAAATCTCACCATTAAAATTTAACCTTTTTTCCTATAAAAAGTGCTAAATTTTAAAAGTCTATATATAAGATTCTGAACCGTTATAAGTTATGTTCAAACATAATATTTAATTGCTTATATAAGATTCTGAAAAGGTATAAGTTATGTTTTAAAAATTTACAAACTATAAGTTTTTGAAAAGGTATGTTCTTTATTATTCTAAAAGGTATGTGTTTCAAGGAAATTTTACAAGTAAATTTAATATTTTTTAGATCATAAAACTGAAAAATCATACCCTCTATTTTTATTTAATAAAAAAATAAATAATTATGAAAAGGTATGTTTGTTATTTTAAATGGGGATGTGTTGTTTGAAAATGACATTATTCAAGAAAGAGTTGCTAGAGTAAAACAGATTTATATCACAATCCTTATGACCATGACTTACAAAAATGAATTTTACTCTAATTTGAGAGATAAACAATAATTTTATTTATCTGAAAAAAATATGATGTGTTTACAAGACAATATTTGTATCTATATAGACATGAAACAACACTACTGAAAGAGTACAATGAACTAATATGAAAGATAAGAGACATAACTCTTCTCTCTTGTAATTCTCAATATAACTAGAGATTTTTTTGCGCTACGCACGGATTATATATTTTAATTTATATACTTATAAATATATATATATATATATATATATATTAATTTTAGTTTGTTTCATGTTATTTTAAAATTTTATAGCGTTTTTAATAATTCTCATATGTTTTCTTAATAAATTTTACATTTGTTGTGTACAGAATATTAGTTATTTTGATGTTAAAAATAGTATTATATAATGTTTACACTTTATTAATATATTTTTAATAAATTTGACATATAAAATGGTAAGTTAATTTGTTTTATATAAGAATATAGCTTGTTTAATATTCAAAATTTATTTTTAGAAATGGTTGGTGACATATATTTTTATAATATATTTTTAAATTATTATCTAAAATTTATTATTTACAATTTATTCTTAATAATTTATTATTTATTATTTACAATTTTTTTATTTATAAGTAAATTTATTATATTTTTTACTAATTTTTGGTAACTTGTTTTAGCATTAAAAAAATACTTAATCCATCCACTTTATATAAAGATTTTTTGTAATGCACATAATATTTTATATACATATTTTTTTAATCTTCTATATTAGAAAATTTTCATTTTATAAAATGGTCTATTTTAAATGTAATAGTTGAATATTGATTTTTTTCCTTTGGTTACAGGGAAGTGATATAATTTTAATTTGTAAATATTTACTTCTTTTCTATTTTTACCATGTTTTGTTACTTTATCAATCTTTGGTTGTTTTTTTTTCATTTTAATTTTATGATTGTATGTTATGTATACTTTAATTGCATTGTCAAATGTATATATGATTTTTTCATATTGGTCGGAACTTCAAATTATTATTCTTTTAGTTTTCGTTATGTATTCTGAAAACATGACTAAAAACGGGGAAAGCTAAAAAAATAGTTTTTTTTTTTGACTAAAAAAATAGTTAATACAGAAATAATATAAATATCAACAATAATTATGTGATAAGGTGGACTTAGATATCTAATGATGATTTCTTAGATAAAAGAAACAGACCCAAACCGAAACCCACAAATGTTAGAAATACATGATCAAAAAAGTAAATAAATGTAAAACTGAACTCAATCCAAACCAACTTTTGAAAATTAATTCCAATTCAAGTTCAAGTAAAATGCTCAAACCTAGACTTCTACTTATTTCACACTCTTAATTCAAAATAAATTATGATATCTGTTTGTAGTGTATATCACTTATAGCATTAAACCTGAAACCTACATTAGAGAAACAAACGGAAAATTAGTACACAAGATCCTATTGCCACGACCAAAAAAATGAAAACCTAAAAGCATATTTATCTTTCAGTAGTATTGCTGATGAGACATGAGATTATTATTGCATTGATGACTTAACAAAGAAGTTTTCTTAACATGTCTCAAAAGAATCCTATAAATCTTGTTCCTCACTCTACCACAAGCCTCTGTCATCATCCCCACTTCCTCCTCTTCTCCTTTAACCATAGCGTCTAACCAATCACTCACTCGTTTTATATGATACATCGTTTCCCCTAGTTGCTGACTTCTCATCTCTCTCCACTTTGTTACATTACTGATCTCATCTAAATACTTCTCAACACGGCTCAAGTACCATCTTCTTCCTTCTTCACTCTTCCTTAACCAAGTTTCTGAGGTCACTTGCTGCTCTGCTTAACCTCTCCTTTCTCTCTCTGGACCCGGAGTTTCTTTCCCTTGTGCTGTCTTCAAGGTTATTATTGACTTCTTGAGCGATTAGGGTAAAAGTCTTTCTCGCGGGACTCTGCGTAGGCTTACTTGCAGGTAAAGAAACATGTTTAAGATCGGTAGCCAAAGCTGATTTGATCCACTGAGTCGCCTTTTTGCGTCTGACGTCTCCCGTTTTTGAGCTGCAATGCTCTGATAATGATTGAATGATTAGCCTGCTCTTGCTTAACTCATCTTGGAAACTCAAGAACTCTCCTATTAGTGGCTGTTGATTATAATGGTGTTGGTTTCTCTTCTCCGAAAGATCCGAGTATGACCTACAAACATTATCATTCCAGTAAGTAAATTACTTGACAAAGAAGTTACATTTACTTGTAACACTTACCTTAGACATTAGCAATCTCTCAGCAGCTGAAGCCTCTAACAAAGCTTGAGACGCCGCGCGGATAGCCTTATCTCTCTGTCTCAGAATCTCCTTCAAAGTTCTCTAGTTAGTTTTCTTTCAAACTGATTTCTTGATCAAAAAGCTATCAGTAAGGTTAACAACTTTGGGAGGAAGTGAGTTCCAGAGAATCTCTGTCTCTTTCCATCTTCTTTTCCTTGAGATAGAATCTGAGGATTCAAGAAGGGTGTTGCGTCTAGGTGGAAGAAGAAGGCTCTTACTCTTACTACTTCCAGTTCCACTACCATAGCTTAAGCTTTTAGCCCACTTTGGAGATGGTGAAGCCACACCATCTCTTCTTCTTGTTCTACCACTTGAATTCTCCTCTATCACTCCACAGCTCCTCACAGAAAGAGAAGGAGAAGCCTGAAAAAAACATCGAAAGTATAAAAAAAGATTATCACAAAAATGCTCTTGAAAATAAAATAATTTCTATAAAACTTACAGCAGGATAACTTCTTGTACTTGAAACATGTAGTTTCATGTCATGAACATGATTCTTAACCATAGATGGATCTAATGACTCTCTTCTCTTTCTAGCATCACCCAAACCCATCCAACTTCTTCTCCTAGCTGCTAACCGAAAGAACAGATCTTTTAGCAAAGATGGTGTTAGTGGAGGATCCGTTACCTCACTCGAACTCAACCCGGTTCCTGTTAACAACCGACTTATACGGCTCATCTTCCCATCGGCGGCAGATCAATCTTGCTCATTCGTCAACGACAAATCTGGTTATGCCTCGGAGTATCTTTCTGATTCCATCATTGACATGAGACCCGGCGAGGCATAGAGATGGATTGATGGGGTGGTGGAGATGAAAAGATCTCAACCGAGAAATTCAATCGGTTGGCAAAGAAGAAGAATGAATAACAACAGAAGATACTCGAAATTAAGGTGCTCAAGACAAATATTTGGGCCAGATGGGCAACACACCATCAAATAAAACAAAAAACCCTAATTCGTTTCGGATTATTTAATCACCACAGTTGAGTATATCTTCTTTTTATTTATAGTTGATAACTACTTTTTTTCAACCTTTCACATAATAAGTATTTTTTTTTTTTTTGCAATCATTCACATAAAACAATATGACTTTCAGATTTAGACACACTTTTTCAATGAAGCAACATAATTTTACATATATTATTAATAATTAATAATATATGACTGAAAAGAGATTATTCAAGGAGTTGAAGAGAAAGTAGTTAGTCGCTTCTCATCATTTTTCCATCTACTGACAAATGACATCTCTTCATTAATAAGTTTATAATTAATAGATCTGAATATTTTTCTTAAAAAATATGGTTATGGTTTTCTAAAAAAAGTTATGTTTTTTTAAAGAATCGTGTCTTTTAATGTTTCAGAAAAAAAAAGAATTGTGTCTTTTGCTGTCTTTTTAAAAGAATTATGCCTTTTGGTGTTTGAAAAATGTTAAGACACATTCTTTTTAAAATTAGCAATTGATGATATCATACATTTAAATGAAACTAAAACTTAACCATTAGATTGTATAACAAATAATTTCTGACCATTGGGTTGAATTTCTTTTTCCTATAAAAAATGATGATACAGATTGGTAATGGGCCCGATTTAGTTACTGATGTATTTCAGTGGGCTATATAACTATGAAGCACTCCTTTCTGTATTTCATAATTAGGAAATGACGATCTTATCCACGGCGCCTTTTACCCCACCGACCAAACCGTGGGCTACACGTCCATAACAATGTCCTCGTCCCTCCTAATTTACGTTATTACCCTCCTCTTTCCATTGCTTCATCTGCGAATATTCTTCTATACCAAGGCAAGATCGTCATTTCCTAATTAAATATTACTATTTATTTATTTATTTATATTACTGACCCCTGCGAGATACAACGGCCACTGCACACACACACACACTCTCGATCTATCTTCCATAGCTATCTCTGTGACTCCTAAAGCGTTTATCGTGATCATCGTTGAGAAAAGATGGCTAGAAAGTTCTTCGTCGGTGGCAACTGGAAATGCGTAAGCTATCTTCTTCTCTCTAATCTTCGTCGTTGTTATGGTTAGATCGGAGAACCTCGCTTTGTAGATCGTGTTTATAGGTCTAGGTTCATTTTTTGCCTAGATTGAGTGTGAAATTTGAGATCCTCGTTTTCATTAGATGTTCCGATGCTTGCGATTTGTCGATTCGATGCTGGATCTCAATTTTGAATACGAGTGAATGATCTTGTGCTCAAGCTTTGATTGAATCGTGGCGTTGCATGCTGGCGTTGATTTAGATTAGGCTCTCTTTTTTGGGAGAAAGATGCTTATGCTATGTGCTGGATTTTGAATGAATGTAGAACGGAACTGCTGAGGAGGTGAAGAAGATTGTGAACACTCTTAACGAAGCTCAAGTACCTTCCCAGGATGTCGTTGGTATGTGAGACATCTCAATTACTTTGATGGCAAGTATGGTTTTTTTTTTTGCATGTCTATGAAATCTCGAGCTTGAAAGATTTGAGCTAATAGCTAACTAGAAGATTTCTGAATTGCTTTTCTTCTGAAACAAAAACGTATTTTGATTTGGGAATACAAAATGATTATGTATTAGCTTAGCTGGCTAATGAAGTGAAGATATTTGTTTCTATCCACAAGGACGATCAAATCTATTAAGTAGTTGTTGTTAGGCGAATGATTTTTTTTTCTTCTATTCATTATTATACTCATATGCATTGGTTTTATATCTATCCATGTTATATTGGTAATAACGTACTGGAAATTCTACAAATGCAGAGGTTGTGGTAAGCCCTCCTTATGTGTTTCTTCCTCTGGTTAAGAGCACATTGAGGTCTGACTTCCACGTTGCGGCACAAAATTGCTGGGTGAAGAAAGGAGGTGCCTTCACTGGTGAAGTGAGGTCAGATCCTCTAGCCACTGATGTCTAAGTAATCATATGTGGTTTTTGAAGTTGTGTTAGCTTGTTTTAAAAAAAAAAATTAATTTCTTTATTTTGTTTGCTTTTCGTTGTCTTGTTTCAATGTTATATCCTGCCTCTTATGCCTTCGGTAACCTGTGTGTGTGTGCAGTGCGGAGATGCTTGTGAACTTAGACATCCCATGGGTTATCCTTGGTCACTCCGAAAGGAGGGCACTCCTTAATGAGTCAAACGAGGTTGGTGACCCTTCATGACTCTACCATTTGGATTGCAGTGCTGTGATTTTTATATTTGACTTCTTATCCTACATCTGTAGTTTGTTGGAGACAAGGTTGCCTATGCACTTGCTCAAGGTTTGAAAGTGATTGCTTGTGTTGGTGAGACTCTTGAGCAGCGAGAGGCTGGGTCCACCATGGATGTTGTCGCTGCCCAGACTAAAGCTATTGCTGGTACGTATATTGTCAAAGACTTTTATCTCTTTTGCTATTTTAGTCGTTCCCTTTGGTACTTTGGGCCTGTTATGATGATATTAGTTCTCGTTTCTACTCGCTTTGAGTGCATAGCTGCTTTTTAGTAAAGCAGTACATGTGGACTTTACCATATCCATACACTAGTATTTATCTGTAAATTGCATGTTTTATTGCCCATTTTCTTACAAAGAACTTCCTTTTGTTGGTAATGGCAGATCGAGTGTCGAACTGGTCAAATGTTGTCATAGCCTATGAACCAGTGTGGGCCATTGGAACCGGAAAGGTCGCTAGCCCAGCTCAAGCTCAGGAAGTATGTTATTCTCTATGTATGTGAGCAGTGAAGCATTATTGCTTATCATCATGACTTGTGATATGAAAACCAATACTCTCTCTCGTTGTTGTACGCAGGTACATGATGAGCTAAGGAAATGGCTTGCAAAGAACGTGAGTGATGATGTCTCCGCTACAACCCGAATCATTTATGGAGGTAAATAGTACTTTGAACATATATAAATGGCCCCACAAAGTTTCTTTAATACTTAGCTTGATTCTGCAAACTATAAACAGGATCAGTCAATGGTGGTAACTGCAAGGAGCTAGGTGGTCAGGCCGATGTTGATGGTTTCTTGGTCGGTGGTGCTTCGCTAAAGGTACGTTATATTGTGTTTTGATGTCGTAGTTTGTTTCAGTCAAAACTATTATCTGATTTGTTTTTCTTCTTTTTTTTTTCATTTTTGCTTTTGTAGCCTGAGTTTATCGACATCATTAAGGCTGCAGAGGTGAAGAAAAGCGCTTAATGAGTTCACTAAGCAAATCTCGAATCCTTTTGTTAATTCAGTCTAAACTCTGATAAAAAGAATGAATAAGTTGATACAGTATTATGTTTCTATTTGCTTCGGTTGTATGTTGTCTTGAGAACCCAATAACCTTTTTATTCGCCATTTTATTCAGCTGTCAGTTTACTTTTTTTTTTTTTGTCAAATAGCTGTCAGTTTACAGATCTCACCCTTTCAGTCTTCCAGAGTGAAATTGTGTTCGGGAGGGGTGGGCATTCAGATACCTGTTTGGATTCGGATCAGGTATTTTAGATTTTTGGATAACTCGATATAGAGGTTTAGTATCCGTTCAGATATTTATACATTTTAGGCCGGGTTAAGGTATTTTTATTTCAATTTTCTGTTATTTCAGGTAGGTCGAATTCAGATATTTAGATTTTAAAATGCATAAATTTACAAAATCAATTTTTTTTTCCAGAACCCAAAAAAATTTTGTTTCGTCAAAATTACCAAACCAATTTTTCTCTGTCGAAATTGCCAAATTACGTTTTCACCTAAAACCGCAAAATTATGGTTTTCACCAAAACTATAAATCATATTTTTGCCAAAACCGTTAAATGAAATATTTTCATCAAAACGTTAAAATTATGTTTACTAGGCAAAACCACAAAATCACAAAATCACTTTATTCAAAACTACATAATCATATTTTTCCATCAAAACCGCAAAATCACGTTTTTATCAAAACTGCAAAATTATGTTTTTGTTTTTTCACAAAGACCACAAAATCACATTTTCCATCAGTCAAAATCGCAAAATCATATTTTTCCGCCAAAATCGTAAAATAGCATGTTCTTTTCAAAACTGCAAAATCATGTTTTGACTCAAAACATATAAAGTGATGTTAAATATGAATTTTTAGTATATGAATAATAATTTCTATCTGAGTCATGCAGACAGTTCAATTGATATGGTCGAAGATAGGTTTGGTACAATTTGGGTTTTGACCAAATGTCTAAAAATCGATTATCCATTTGGACTAAGTCCATTTGGACATGGACTCTCTACCTCTTCCCATGTTTCTTAGCATCTGACGAAACATTTTCTTCTCAAAAAGCACAAACAAGTTTCTTGTTCTTCATTTGCTTCCATTATATCTATAAATGGGTTCTTGCCTCAGCTCTCGTATCAATAGTATGTTCTCTGCAACTACAGATCGTTTTCTTCATCATCTTCTTGATCTCCCTCTTTTTTTTTTGTAAATTTTCCCGGGAAAGTCCTGAGATTTTGCATGTGCTTCTCTGCCAGTTCTGTCTGTATGACTGTATCTGTTTATTTATGATGAGTCTAATGAACTTTGCGAGAATCTATCTTTCTTTCTCCTCAGTTTTTGAGTTTTGGTCAACGCTTTTGTGTGTTCTGCAGATAAGAGCAGTGGTCTCTACGACATTCAACTCTCGAGCTATCAATCATCATCATCAGCTCATACGAGAGAGGGAGAGATACTTAGCAAGGCGAACGTTAAGAACTTCACCTACAACGAACTAAAACTTGCAACCAGAAAATTCACACCAAAGACTGTTGTCGGAGAAGGTGGTTTTGGTTCTGTCTTTAGAGGTTCAATCGATGAGTCAACTCTCGCTCCAACTAAGTCCAGCACTGGTCTTGTAATTGCTGTGAAGCGGCTTAACCCTGATGGATTTCAAGGTCACCGAGAATGGCTGGTTAGACACAACATTGTTCTTATTATGTCTATACAATCTCGAGCTTTCAGTTTTTCAGTTTGATCTGTTGTGTGTGTTTTGTTGTTAATTCAGGCAGAGATCAACTACTTGGGGCAGTTAAGTCACCCGAACTTAGTTAAACTGATTGGTTATTGTCTGGAAGATGAGCAAAGGCTTCTTGTGTACGAGTTTATGCATAATGGTAGTCTTGAGGATCATCTGTTCATAAGTGAGTCACTAATCAATATATTATTGGAACATGTAGTGTTGTATGTACTTATCTTTGAATGTTTTGGAAGCAGAGGGTGTACAGTCTAAGCCGCTCTCTTGGAGTCTACGGGTTAAGGTTGCGCTTGATGCAGCTAAAGGGCTTGCATTTCTTCACAGCGATCCTGTTAAAGTCATGTACCGAGACATCAAGGCTTCAAACATCTTGCTGGACTCGGTTTGAAATCTTTCAAGCCTCAGTATTTTCCTAATCATGGACTTAAAAAAAAAAAAGCTGACTTGGTTTCTGTCATATGACAAACAGGACTTCAATGGAAAGCTTTCAGACTTTGGCTTAGCGAGGGACGGTCCAATGGGTGAAACAAGCTATGTTACTACAAGAGTCATGGCTACATTTGGCTATGCTGCTCCTGAGTATGTGTCTACAGGTACATTTTATCAACTCACATATACAAACTGTTATTAAGGTACAATGTTCAAAAATCGCGGTAATTAGATGTTTATATGGGATTAGTGCTTAGCCGGGTGCCAAAATCGATATCTAAATTTATAGAAATGTCTTTTTGCTTATACTCGATTTGTTGCATAGACGGGCGCCTAGATTGATTTTTAGAATACTGCTAAGATATGATAATGTTGATGTGAACTTAGACAGTTACACTTGTTTCATCCTCTGACTTATATTTTCTCCTTTTTCTAGATCGCTTGAAGGCTAGAAGCGACGTATACAGTTTTGGGGTTGTGCTTCTAGAGTTACTATCTGGAAGGCGAGCATTGGACCATAACCGACCGGCCAAGGAGCACAACCTTGTGGATTGGGCTAGACCTTACCTCACAAGCAGGCGAAAGGTTATACAAATTGTGGACAGGCGTCTGAACTCACAGTACAAACCTGAAGAGGCAGTGAGAATGGCAAGCATTGCTGTGCAGTGCATCTCGTCCGAACCAAAGTCACGGCCGACCATGGACCAAGTGGTCCGAGCCTTGATACAACTGCATGAAAGCATGGTTAAAGGGGATAAAGTTGATCCGGGTAAAAAGATACCAAGATGAGATTGAAAACCGAAGACTTGTACCAGAAAAAGGGTTTCAACAGAAATGATGTTGGTTTGTAATAGGTAGATAATGATGTGGTTACTTACTGTTGTTTATGTCTAACTAGTGGTATTCCGGCGCTACGCGCCGGATTCAAATGTTTTATTCTCTAATAAGTTTAAAATTGTTTTTGATCCATTTGATATTGGTTAGTGATAGTAGTGTGTTACTTTATTTCGAAGTAGTTTAAGTCAAAGAGGAATAGAATAAATGGTTTTCATTACTGATCGATTAGCTGATAGTTGCACCAAAGCAAGTTGAACTTAAAACATAAAATAAAGTTGATTTTCCAAAAGAAAACATGTAATGCATGTGTTTGGTTCCGTAGATTTTGTTTTCTTTTTAATCTTTTCACCGTCTGATAACAAAAATTATGCTGGTTATGTACGAAAATCTGGCAATGTGTTATGAGAAACGGAAGAACTTGAAGATGTGAATGTTTTTGCTCTTAAAGACCTGAATTTGCACTGAGTGTGTATTGCCACTTGTTTTATTTGTAACATTTTATTGGTTTATTATAATGTAAATCAATGGAGAGCTGTGGTTGTTACAATTTTTTTTTTGTTCGAAGGGAAAGTATGATCGGTAGTTGTCTGCATAGTCAATCCCATCTCAAAATGTTTTTCAAAATGACACATGTGTTTTTTTGCTTCTTCTCTTTTATACACGACAGACCAAAAGTGATTGTGGTAGTGTGGTGGCTAGCTCTTTATCTGAAACATTAACAAAAGGTAGTTGATCGTATTTTAAGATACATTGCCTTTGCCTATCATAGTGTGCGGATGCGGTGATCTTAGATAAAATGTTCCCAAATTTCTTTTTGGGGAGGATATCGAAAGATAACTTTATTTTAGTGGATGCATGGATTTGCTTGGGTTTGTGTAAAAATTATATTTTAACATATGCCGCCGGGTTTGATTTATAAATTACTACATGCCCTTTTATTATCTTTTGGCACTCATGTGAATTGTTTTTCAAAAATTTATTTCGTATTATCTATTGGAATTGATGATTACTTAAAATTAAATGTTTTTAGTTTTTTTATAATTATTTTGTAGGCTAATTTTCATTTTAAAATGTATAATTTTTAAAAACATGATTTACCTTTACAATTTTAAGATTCTGAATTTTAAATTTAGGATTTAAAATGTCATATGCTTTATTTTAATAATTAGAATAAATTTTTAATAGTATAATAATATTTAAGACTTGAAGTTTGAAAATTACGGATTAGAGTTCACATATAATGTATACATAAATTTTTAAAAGAAGTTTGTTTAATTATAATATCTTAGGTGTTGTATATCAAATTGGGGTGTATATACTAATAAACGTTTCATTAAGCCAAAGGCAATGAGCATCGCTTACAATTAACAGGATTATCACAATCACAACACATCAAATTATTGCTTTAGGGAAAAATATGTAGTATACAACACCTAATCCTGCCACTTTGGATTCAGTAGCTTGGTTCTGGAATGTGACTGCTGCAGTGTTAAGATTCATCTCAAAGATTCATTTCAAGAGCATCTCTGCATCACTATCAGACATAGTTGATCTACGGCTCAAAACCATGCCATGAAGCATAATAACAAAATCAATTATGACATCAATCCTCGGCCGTTCAGGTTCTTTTAAGCTCACAGGACCATCAGCTAAGGGTCATGCCCCAATCTTCCAAAGATTCCACTTTTTTTGCTCCTGCAAAAAAAAAAAAAACTCAAACAGTGAATCAGATCTAAGAAACACAGGTCAGTTGCCTATTTCATCTAGCAACAGAACATATTTCAAATCCAGTTTCATATAATCAGATATCAACAGAGATTCAGACATGTAAGATGAAAACTGAATATCAAACAGGAAGGGACATATGGCAATCTACTAAAACTACAACACAAAAACGCAACACAAATCAGAATCAATCAAACAATGAGCAAATCATACTGAGAATATACATTACGATTGGTAGTGTGTTCACTTGAAAGTGGACAAACGGGAGTCTCTCAGGTAGTAAAGGCAGCAACCACTAATTACTAATGCAACTAAACATAATAATCTTTATGAAAACCAATATCATCTTGATCTTTCAAAAACAGTATACTATAAGTTCGGCCATAGGATCCACTCAGGGCCGTGCCTGATTTTTATGGGCCCCTAAGCACAAAATATTTTTTATGAAAACCAATATCATCTTGATCTTTCAAAAACAGTATACTATAAGTTCGGCCATATGATCCACTCAGGGCCGTGCCTGATTTTTATGGGCCCCTAAGCACAAAATATTTTTTTGGCACTTTAATTACATATTTTTGAAAAAAAAAGAAGTAAAATAGTGTGGCACCTGTCGAACCCATGACCCTATTCAATTAAGTGTTGGACTAATACCAACAGAACTGATTGCATTTTTGAAAATATTTGGCCCCTAAATAAATTATACACATTAGGGCCCTAAGCATATGCTTGATCAGCCTATAGTCAAGCACGGCTCTGGATCCACTATAAGAAACAAAGAAGCTACAACTTCGCATGCATTTTATATCAACCGAACCATAAGTACATATCAAGACTTCCGTATTTCCAAAAAACAACTGCTCTTCCACCGACCATACTAAAATTTCTAAGGTACCCTTGATGTTATTTGTTTCTCCGGTTTTTGCATATTGATTTAGGCAAAATTCCACGCAAAAAAAAAAACAAATACTTGTGGTAATATTAAACATCCAGATAAAAGAAAAGAAAAAAGGTTGGATCAACATAACTTAATACCACAAAATAAGGAGGATATGTGCTTCTCTTTTATTCTACTTGGCAGTGGTCTGCTTCTTAGCCAAGCGCAAGCGATTCTCCCTTGCCAAGCGTTCCAAGGCAGAACCTAAAACAAACAAACATGCGAATTAAATTCAAAGTTTTATTTTACTTAGTAAAAAAAGAATCAAAAATCAAATTTACGTACGCGGAGGAGCGTAGCCACACTTAAGATTTTTAAGCAATGGGAAAATCCGAGTAACTACAAAAGTAGTAAAGCCTTCCACATGACCTCCACTAAGTTCCAGCGCCTTCTCAACTTTGGCATGTCCAGAGATACAAATGCGAGCAATGCTGTAAAAAAATTCAGAACAGTTAGCAATTTGATCATAGCTTAACTAAAAGAAATTCAGAAGCCGCAAACCTTTTAAGAGTGCAAAAGCCACTGCTGTAGTCTCCGTAAACAACAACACCTTGTATATTGAGATTTTTATGACATCTACAGCTTTGAGATAATGGAAAAGGGGAAAGGAATCTTTATGAAACGCTAGCAGTGAGACAGAGATAGTTAGCCGGCGTAACCTCTCTAAAGGAGGAGCATCGATGGGGAGCATAAACAATGGGGAAGAAGAGCCCTAATTTCATACGGGCCAAAATTAAAAATCGAGGTGGGCTTTGAATTGTTTGCAAGCCCAGCCAAGGTCCATCTTTACTCTGCTAACGAAAAAAAACACCCATAGCCAGCCAGATGCTGACACATGGCGAGAAAACCCTCTATGTTTAAAAGTGACGTGGACAGCCTAAGGGGGCAGATATCCCTACTTTATTAATATAGATATTGCGTCAAGTGAATATATGACACTCGCTGTAGTTTTGCTCCTGAAATAATTATTGACTAGGTGATAATCAATAATATTAAATATAATGAAATAGGTGTATTTGTTTATATAATGTAACCTTATTTGTTTTTGTTTTTTGAAAAAAAATTGTGTAATTGGATAGGTGCATTGAAGTCTATTATATGGAAAAAAATATAAGATTAAGCAAAAACTTCTTTAGATTTATTATGAATTAAAAAAACAAACATATGTTTGAATAATTATTTAATTCATAATAGAATTATGATGATAATAATTAAAGCAATATAGGTAATAGAAAAATAAAACACCAAATAATGAAAAAAAAAATGTTTTCAAAACTCTTGCTCTGCATTTCTATAGAGAGAAATAAAATGGATAAATTTACAAAACAAAATACACTTATTACTTTTCTCTACAAAATGAAATGATATACCTCTTTCTGATAACTTTGATTTCTCGTACATCAGTGGGTTCAAAATGATTTTTGAAAACTCATCAATATTAGAGATATTCTTCAGTTTTTATTATCATGATCAAAATGACAATATAGGCAGTAATTTAATGGGATATAATATCCAACACAATTTTTATTTAAAATTAGTAAAGTGCACTAGTCCTATATTAATAATTCTAGGGTTAACAAACTTGAGAAACGTTTGCCGTAATTACCAACAGAAATTAGTGTTCCATAAACTCTTTTCCAATGCATTCATATTCTTTTCTATTAAATTATTTCCTAATAACTCAATTATTATGACAATTGGATTCAGAATATAATTTTCTTTTGTTAACCACCGTAATTGATTCAATTAGTTGATGGTTTTGAAAAAATAGTCATCAAATTTAATATTATGAACTGAATCTCAAGTTTACGCCAACACAATTTTTATTCAAAATTAGTACAATACATTAGTGCTACATTAACAATTCTAGGGTTAACAAAGTTGAGAAACGTTTGCCGTAATTATCAACAGAAATTAGTGCTCCATAAAATCCTTTCCAATGTATTCATACTCTTTCCTATTAAACCGTCTCCTAATAACTCAATTATGATAATTGGATTCTGAATATAATTTGTCTTTGTTAACCACCGTAATTGATTCAATTAGTCAATGGTTTTCAAAAAAGTCATGCAAATTAATATTATGAATTGATTCTCAAATTTACATCAGAATTTTATATATAAGGGATTATATTAAGCTATATGATTAAGTATGATTTGAAATATAAGGAAGAAAATAATTTTGATTGATTCCAAAAATCAACAAATCAATAAATAATAATCAATGCTTCCTAATTTGAAACTATATTTTATATTGTATAAAGTTGACTATGTTACATATGTATTGTTTA